GTTTTTATTTGAGGAAATGTGATATTTCATTTAGTGGAAGATTGATAATGTCAGTGATTCACTGAATCTGATTTACAGTCCAGCCACTAGCATCTCACCACGATCTATTATGTTGGAGGCGGTTACTCTAATTCACAGAAACCTTGAGCCACTCATGCAAGGACAATATGCCAGATGAAAATAAGGTGCACACACTCTGAAGCTCTGCAGCTTTCATCCATTAGTCATCTCATCTAAAAATATTAGAAAAAAAACCAGAAAGTCACTTAAATCCATCAAAGTGTGAATAACAGGCTTTGTTCTACTTTGCCATTGCATAAGGGATGTGAATGACTCCAAATAACCTCCACAGACACTGAGTCTGCTCCACTGTCGGTCCCAGCTGATACGGGATCAGCCAGCACTGAGCCCAACCAGGACAGACACATGTCAGCATTCACACTGTTAATTAAGACGTCTGCTTTGCACCATTTTTTCAGATAAAACTAATGAAGAGTATTGTATGAAATATACAATAGCCAAGAATGATACAGTTAAATATCACTCAGCTTAAAACTAAAAATATGTGTTTAAACTAGCGCTGTCAGCGTTAATCTCGTTAAAATGACGTTAACGCCATAACCGCATTAAAGCAGCAAGTCTCCGTTAGCGAGGGGCTGCTAACGCGCTAACCGCGCCAAAGCGTTGACGCCATGCAGCCCCACAGCATTAGTTTAAACTAATTTTAGCTAACTGAAATAAAAATAATCTAGACTAACTAAAATGTTATTGTGTAACATTCAAATTTTAGTCTTTTGTCTTATAAATAAAACAATAAAACCTAAACTAAATGAGCATACCTCCTCTTAAAATGAACTGAAACTAAAGGGAAAATACAAATAAATCTAATAAGAAAAGTCAAAATTTTAAAATGTATAATAAATCTTTGGGTTTAAATAGCACATGTTTTGGTATGAGTGTGCTCAACTTGAGATCATCCTTTTAAAAATACACCTACAGGTGTTGGATCCGGTCGAGTCACTGCAGAGCACAAAAGAACTTGTTCCTTCCTGAAGGTTGCTGCAAGCTCAGAATACCATCAGTCATTTGTGCCCACGTCTCCAGTGATGACGTGAACACCTGAGACTGCACACAAGCTGCCGGTGAAATTCCCCAACATCCGGGGTTGGGCTCAAGGTCAACCATCCCCCTCTGAGGAGGGGGCCACTGAAGGCATGACCACCATCAACCAGATTAATCACCGCTGACTCATGAAACAACCATGATTAATGGCGAAGCTGCAGACGATCCACCTCCTCCACCGCACTTGGAATGTGCTGCCGGACCCAACGTGCACTAGCACGCTGAAGTCAACAGCCATGCGACAAAGGACAGCAACGTAGAGCCTTTTATGACATTAAACTCTGCAACTCTGCCCAAAATAAACCACATTTTACGAACACCCTCCCTCTGATAGTCTCAAACTCTTATATCATCCCTCTGTGATGTGTAACTATTTTGTCATCAGGCTGCTATCCCCACGTTCTCCCCAGCTTCCACTTCAATCTGTGATTCCCTGCTTTTCCCAGAATGCCCTTCAACAGCTCGCAGAGAGTGGGCGGGAGCATGTTGGTTTCACTCAGAGGCAGGTAGGCGTGTATAGGTACACATGCAGCTTGAAAGCTGTGGGGTTATTCACATCTATATCTGCAGCCCCTTCCTCAGACGTGTCCTGTAGCTACACTGCATTCAGCTCCACCGAGGCCACTGTGGGTGTACACAGTGAGCTCTCATGGGGCTTTTACCCCCTGTTAATACAACATGTTGGTGTAAAAGAGCTGATTGCAAGGAAGCAGAAACAGAAACGAGTCTATATATGCGTCACTTATCCTGGTTTAATAATTCAACTTCTGTTCAATAGTTTTCTGAAAAATATATTCAAACACCTTAGAAACAAGACAGGTTGCTAGAAACATCTGAATTTAAAGATAAGGGTTTTTCTGTTAATGAGAAATTTTGGCACCCTCAAAAGAACAATCACCTGGACTATAATAAAAAATATTATTATTCCAAGAAGAATAATCCTTTCAGTGTGGTCTTCCCAGGATCTCCTTCCAGCTGAACAGAAACACCTCAGGAGCTGTCCAAGAGGCATCTTAATCAGATGCTGAACCACCTCAGCTGGCTTCTTTTGATGCAGAGGAGTAGCGACTGTACTCTGAGCCCCTCGTGCTATCTCTAACACAGAGCCCAGACATCGTTCAGAGAAAGCCGATTTCTGCTGCTCGTATCCATGAATTCATTCTTTCAGTCACTACCCACAGTGTGTGGTCGAAGGTGAGGTTAGCACAAACCAGTAAATCAACCAGTACACTCAGCTCTCCGTTTACTACGGCAGACCTGTACCCATTAATCTGTTGATCTACCGCTTCTCTTTTCCCCAGCGAGACACTGAGGCATGTTCTCCTACTTTCATCCCTCTGTACCACTTACTGGACAAGCAGCGGGACAGTTTATCCAACAGACTGATTCCATGCTGCTGCCAAATGGACAGATACAGGAAATCTTTTACACCACACGCTATCACCTCAATATGACAATAAGTCTAAGAAAAAATGAAGCAGGTATTTCACCCCTCATTGCTGAAAGTGTCTAAATTTCATTATATCGCTGCTACGATCTCATGAATATCGCCTTGTTAGCGTTAGTGATTGGTTGTAGCTACGATAACTGCTCCAGTAAAACTACATTTTTATTTCTTTATTCATTTTTAAAAGTGTCTTATTAAGTGGATTTCAGTGACACTGGGTGAAAACTTATATACCAACCCTCAGCTGCACTTTTCCAGTTTATATTCGGTACTATAATATTTAAGGTGCCACCCAAGATAAGTGGAGCCTCTGTTGCAGAGACATTGACTGACTTTAAATCCCATGAACAAATGCTAGTTTGTGCCTCATTGGCAGACTATGGATGCATATGATTGGTTGTTTTGTATTTTTTCTACTAACGTTAACATTGAGCAAAAAAAATCCCATTTTTGATTATGGGGATTTTGATTATGAGCCACAACGTGGCAACAATCCAAAGTAGACGAAGAAGAAGAAGGTGTACTTTATTGGTCCCCGTGGGGAAAATCCCTCTCTGCATTTAACCCATTCACTCAGTGAAGCAGTGGGCAGCCATTGGGCGCCCGGGGAGCAGTGTGTAGGGACGGTACCTTGCTCAGGGGTACCTCAGGGTAGCTGTTCAGGGGAATCGAACCCCCGACCTTCCGATCATGACTTACTATGAGCAACATTATTTGCTTCTGCAGAAACAACCTTCAGACTCAACCTCGTTTTAGCAAAAACACATTTTATTAGCAATCCAGTGCAAGAAAAAAAAAACTACTCTGCCTGCAATCCTAAACTGAAACAGCGACGTCTCCGGTTGGTGGAGGTTGCAGTTACCATGGAAATGTATAAACCTGCAAATGTCAGGTTGCTTAGTGGAAGAACTTCAGAAACTGTGAGCAGTAACTGTACCATAACTAAGGCAATGCTTTATTACACATTCAAACAATACAAGCTAAATATATATAGAAGTATTCACTTTGATCAGGTTGGAAATTGGCTGCTGTGGAATCTGGGATTGGCATTATGGGATGAGTAGTTCCTTCACTGTTTTAAGCCATTATGTACTCAGTCTTGTGCCTCTGCCCTGTTTTTCCTTTATTTTTTCATCCAAATTAATTTTTTTTTTTACTGTAATCTTGTAGCTGTTTGGCTTGGTTGAAGATTTGAAACTCGTTCATTCGCACATTACACCTCAGAAATCACAGCGGAAAAAACACAACATTTTTACATGTAGAATTTGATGCTAATTAAACTAAAGCATATTCTTTCTTCAAGATCCACATACTTTTAACTTCTCACACATGTTCACTCCTGTGTAATAAAGCTAGCATCATCATCGCTTGATGGACAGCTGTGCATTTTAATGAAAACCTGAAGCAATTACCGACTTCACAGCAAGTTTCACACTTTGTTAATCCATTAAGTTAGCCACATTGGACACGTTTTCTAGGCCAGTTCAGGCCCTCAGGCCACACCTTTGACTTGGATGGTAAGTCAGAGTGGATGGTAGCATTATAGCATGGTGGCCTCATAACAAGATGGCCCTAAATGATAATTAATGATTCCAAAAATAGTGGCATTTGATATGCAGATGTGTCATTGTTTACAATTATACTGTAATGACAGAACAAAGAGGTTAGAAATGCAGGGTGCACTGCCAGAAGCCTTTTTCTTTCTGTTTTATATATGTAAAGTGTTTTCAGGCTGGATTTAATTTGAAGTTTCAATTAGTCACTCTGCTGCTGGTGAAGTATCACACCACTATTTTTATGTGGCCCAACAGGCCAAATCTAAGTGCGTAAATAATGGAGGTAGGGGAAGCTCTTCTCTAATGTACCCTCGGTTTCAGTAACCCGGTGAGGCAGGTGTAGGTGTGCAGCTCTAAAAAATCCTGGTTAAAACACATCCTCAACCACACACATGGCCCTGCAACCATATATATGCAAGGTGATATCATCCACAAACATGCACCTACACAGACACCTACACGCATGCATACCCATCGCAAATTCACACAGGCACACACTAAGTTAGGTGAATGCTACTCAACACCTGTGCAGCGCAGAGAAGGGCAGTTAGTTTGCAGGATTTCTGCAATATTTTATCCAGTCATGCGTGTGCGTGTGTGTTCGAGCCCTCTTTCCCCCCTTATAATGTGGTCGCAGATGCAGACAAAAAGCACACAATCATCTCTCTTTTTATGCAGCTAGTGTCTCCATGTATGGCTGATGCTGCAGCTGCATTCAGGGCATCACAGTAAGACATAAAATGGGAGGGTTTTGTTGCATTATGCTGAGGCGTTCCTGCATTGTATGCATGAATGGCTGCAGACGAGCCTCATGATAAAAACCTGTTCGCCTGTCTACCACACTGCAGTACCGACACAATAAAGAGGGCAAATACCTGATTTTTCTTTTACGCAGGGGCTCCACGGAGAGGAGGATGCTGATCCTATAGATGCGGCACCCGTCACCATTTTCCCCTTTGAAGAGAGAGGAAAAAACAACAGTGTGCACAGCAACGTGTAAATTGAAGTAAAATGCAGTTTTGTCCCCATCAGTAAATAAACACAGGCTCTCCAATGAAGCGCAAAGATTGCAATGCCACACATGCGCCCTAGTAGGGAAAATGTGGCACTGCTGATGCCTTTTAAGTTAATTTCAATCGTATTTTACAACAATAAAAAAACAAAAACAAATTGTGGGTTAAAGATGTCTTAATGTAAACTCCGACACTCGCAAACCCAAAATGTGACTACAGCTTTGAAGTTACGCATGATTAAAAGCATCGCATGCCACTCCGGTTCACAATTTTCATGCCTCTCAAAGCAGCAGTGCTCAGAATGAAATAGATTTTTTACCTGCTTCCTTCTTTGTCGCCTCCGCTGGGATCCCTATTGTGATTCGCGGATAGTGAATGGAAATGTGTCACCTACATGTTTCATTGTAATTCCCAGGTCTGGAAAAAGGAAATTGATTAGCCGCAGTGAAGCTTTGCTCGGTTGTTTTTTCGCCTCCTCCAGTATAAGAATGAAAATAAAACCAACACAAAGATAATAAAAATAAAAATCAGTAAGAGGACGCGTTTATAAAATAATCGTTCAAGTGTCGTCGCGTTATTTCAGCCTGCTCTTTGTGGTGGATGTGTGCGCTCTCCCCAGTGATGCTCCAAGGCTCCACGTACGCCCGGCGCTGATGCTGCTTCGGCGTCTCTGCCTCTCTGACAAAAACTGCTCTCACAGAGGTCCGCTGCTCTCTGCGCCCAACTCATTGATTGGACAATATGGCACTAGCCCACGTTCGCCTTTCTAAAGTACTGCAAATGATCGACCAATCCTGTAGCGGATGCCTACATCTGATTGGCTGTGTCCTGTTCGAAATCGTCGGTAAGTTCCTGGAACACGCGCACCTGTGACTACTTAGTTAATGTAAATATTAATGCGCTGGTCGTTAATGTAGCAACATATTAATGTTCTGAGTTCTTATACTCTTTTTTCTTTGGCTGACTGGGTTCCAAAAGGTAAATTCCACCACCCGCTGCTGTTTACAGTTAATGTAACCATTGATGTAGCTTAACTTAAAGGCTTTACTGGAAACATGACTTTGTGTCATAGGCTTGTTAATATCTGACTCACATGGTAGCACAGGTTTAATTTATTCTAAGTTAGAATGGAACACTTGTAAATCTATTAAGACTTACAGCAACTGTAGGTAATAATGCAATAACCAACAGTGTAGCAACACATTAAAATATAGAGTTCTTATTAATACAAACACTGTAAACCAATAACATCCTTACCCGAAGCATGGATGTCTTGTGTTTTTAATCTGACTAAACGTATTTATGCACACAGGTCTAATCATTGCTTGCACAAGCCTTAATTATTAACCGTTAGCTCCTAAGTGCTAACAGGGCTAATAGAATTTACTGTTTTTTAGTTGCTTGGTCTGCTGTGCCAACGGTCAAGTGATCGATTGGAGAATGAGGGGCTTGCGCACAATTACATTTCTAAGTTAGGGGAAATAATCAGTGAATCTTATGAGTTCCTACTAAAAGCACATTAACTAAAGCCCGGACCATTGTAGCAGCATATTAATGCGCTGACTTCTAATGGTGTGACTGGTTGAAATGAGGTTCCAAAGCACTGATGAACTTTCAGCCCTTCTAACAGTTAACATTAACTATAACGATCATAGCATATGTGCGTTTGTAGAGCGTAGCACTGCAGGCATATCACAACTCACCTGTATGAAAACAGAGCATGAATATTCATTTAATGTTTTATGTATTCACACAAGAAAGGCAGAGACCACAGAAAGCGAATGACATTCCAGGACGTAATTAACTGCTGGCAGTGGGAAGCTGGGAACTCGAGATAAGCTTTTCTCAACTTCCAGCTGAGTGACTGAAGCGACTACCAATGAGAGTGAAGAATGCCTCACACTGCCATATGACATTATGTTATATCTAAAGTACTGCAAGTTGGAAAGTTACCTGGTAACTGTAGCACACTTTAAAACTGAGGTCTCTCGTTTCCTTTAGCATATTTGGTTGCAGGTCATATGTCAATCACAGGTAGGGATAGGAATAGGTTCTTGTAAAGAACCAGCTGCCAGTAATCCAATTCCTTTGAATTGTTAGTCTGCCTGCCGATTGATTCCACTTGTGATTGCAATTGGCTGATTTTAGTTCATGTGCTGGAGGAGGAAAATAGTGGCGCAGTCTGGATATGGACATTACTTTTGTTTTTATTGTGCAACAGGATAAAAGCACAATGGTAAAGTGCAAACTGGATCCAGAACAAAAACAACAGCTTTATGATGCTAACACAACTTCAGCTCTTTGCAAGCATCTGCACAGACAGCGTGCTAATGCTAAGCTAGCCACGAGCCAAGTGATATTAAAGCTGAGTGAATGCTGACCAAAACCCAGCAGTCAGACCCTGAACTTCAACAGGTAACAAAAGCAGCGATGAGCAGTCAGGCTGCAGCTTCCGTTTCTACCTGTTCATGTTTCTATTGTAGAATCACCGTGACGATCGCCTCAAAGTCTCTGTGCTGGTTTTCTATCTGTGCTCTGTGCTGTCGACTTTGTGTTCAAACCTAAATGCCAAGAGAAAGATCATATGTGTCTCCTCTAGGATGGGGATTTGTGTGTCATGTGGGAGTGTAGTCTATAGGTTTATATTGTTAAATAGTAATTACAAGACAATTTGTTTCAGGTCATTTTACAAAAAAAACATGAAAGTAATGTAATAAGCAGAGGTGTGGACTCGAGTCACATGACTTGGACTCGAGTCAGACTCGAGTCATTAATTTTATGACTTTAGACTTGACTTGAAAAAATGTTCTAAGACTTGTGACTTGACTTGGACTTTTACACCAATGACTTGGGACTTGAATTGGACTTGAACCGGTTTACTTGAAAAGACTTGATATTTTACCCCAAATATAAAATTTAACATGCATATTATATAGAGATTGAAAATGTGACATCATTCACGGGTAGAACCGCAAAGGATTCTGGGAACTCGTGGCAAGCGGTACTAGCGCACGCAGGCTTTCAATTAAAATCAGTTATACAGCGATAAAAAGAAACACAAAAATGTCAAGAAGCTGTTGTATTATTAACTGCAATAGCCGGTCGCATGACAGCCACGGGAAGCCGACGGGTAAAGAGATCGGTTGTTATCGGATTACGTCGTTGAAGAGAAATTGTTCAAGCCATGTTTCCGAAGTAACAAAGACGCGACGGATGGCCTGGATTGCAGCCATTCAAAGGTCAAATATAACGTCCCAGAACACTCCAGCTCACAGGTTAGTCTGCTCCAAGCATTTACACGAAGGTCAGTCTGCTGTTGTAGTTAATGCGTCATTTTTCTTAACATAATTGGTGATATAGGTTACAAGCAAGTCTGGCGCTGAACAGAAATTGTCGCGCTATGCTCCTTTATTTATTGTGCATAAATAGTGAATTGTCCTGACACAATATTGCGTTTCGCTTCTGTTATTATGGTACATTGACAAAAACATATACTTTTATTCACAGGATAAAACAGGTTTTTTGTATCACTAATTGCCCAGTACGATTACAGCATACAATATTATTGTCACTGCTACATTTCTGTGATGCTACCAGAAATTATTTCCACTACTAATTAATTACCGTTGAGCTCAAAGGTCCTATTAATAAACGGTTAATGAATGTGTATTTATGACGACGATTTGTGAGACTGGTAAACTTATGATACGTACGATGGTCTTTCGTTCTACACGGTGCATTTCAAGGTCCTGTACCCATCCGTCGGTAAACTGTACCTGGGCTTGTTGCAGTGACCTGAAGTTACTAAACTTCATGATCGTATGCGCTCACTCCAAGAACCGTATGATTATAAATATGCATATAAATATGCTACGATGAGATAGCTGACTTCATCTAACTAGCAAATGTTTTCCAGGCTACGTTGGTGATACAGTTTTTTTTAATGTGTATGATATTTTTGTCATGCGATTTTAAAGCTGGTCCTACAACCGCATCCAAGAATAACATGCAGCTTATCTCAGAACTGTCGGTGAAAATTATTCTTGGAGCTAGGTTTAATTGAGCTGCATTTTAAAGAGGTGCAATTTCACAATTTGTGTATATTTTCTAAGTTCACTATTTTGTCATGTGTTGAGAAAAACACAGATTTTAAAATTACATGGTCTAATATTTACATTTAGCATAACTGCAACATTATTTTTTCGTTTTTTTTTTTTTTTAAAGACTCGAAAGGACTTGAAATTCAAAGTTTCAGACTTGTGACTTGACTCGGACTTTTACACCAGTGACTTGAGACTCGACTCTGACTTGCCTGACATTACTTGAGACTTGACTTGAGACTTGAGGATAAAGACTTCAAATCAAATCAAATCACTTTTTATTGTCACATCACATGTGCAGGCACACTGGCACAGCACATGCGAGTGAAATTCTTGTGTGCGAGCCCCACAAGCAACAGAGATGTGCAAACACAACAACACAAACGAGCAAAATACAAGAATGGCCAACCTGAAACTAATAAATATATGTACAATATATAATAGTGTATGCATTTCTGGATGTGTATACTAAATATTTTCCTACGTGCGTGTGTGTGTGTGTGTGTGTGTGTGTGTGTGTGTGTGTGTGTGTGTGTGTGTGTGTGTGTGTGTGTGTGTGTGTATACACATTTTTACAAATTAAATAGTAAAAAAATAAAATAAAATAATAATAATAATAATAATAAAATATATAAAATATACAGAGTTGAATATGTGCAAAACAGTGGCATTTATATACAGTATGGAGTGCATAATGTTAAAGTTCCAGTAGTGAAGCTGAGGTGTCTATGACGTGTTCAGCAGTCTGATGGCCTGATGGAAAAAGCTGTCTCTCAGTCTGCTGGTACGGGACCGGATGCTGCAGAACCTCCTTCCTGATGGAAGCAGTCTGAACAGCTTATGGCTGGGGTGACTGAGTCCTTGATGATCCTCCCCGCTTTCCTCAGGCACCGCTTCCTGTAGATGTCTTGGAGGGAGGGAAGCTCACCTCCAATTATCCGTTCAGAGCACCGCACTACTCGCTGGAGAGCTTTGCAGTTGTAGGCGGTGCTGTTGCCATACCAGGTGGTGATGCATCCAGTGAGGATGCTCTCAATGGCACAGTGATAGAAGGTCCTGAGGATGCGGGGGCTCATGCCGAATCTTTTCAGTCTCCTGAGAAAGAAGAGGCGCTGCTGCGCCTTCTTCACTGTTTTGTTTGTGTGTACTGACCACGTAAGATCCTCAGCCAGATGTACTCCAAGGAACCGGAAGCTGCTCACTCTCTCCACAGCAGCGCCGTTGATGGTGATGGGGGTGTGTACTTCTCTGCACCTCCGGAAGTCCACTATCAACTCCTTTGTCTTTGCGACGTTGAGGGTGAGATGGTTGTCTTGACACCAGTGGGTCAGGGCGCTGACCTCCTCCCTGTAAGCTGTCTCATCACCGTTGGTGATAAGACTTGAGACTTACTTGAGACTTGCAAAACAATGACTTGGTCCCACCTCTGGTAATAAGTAATGTAACGAGTTACTGTCTCCTGGAATTACTTAAGTAATCTACTGTATTACTTATAGGAACGTATGTTTGTGTAATTATAATACATCAGTTTCCTTGAGTAACGACCCCAACACTCATTGC